AGTGGACTTCAACTCCCAGGATTCCCCAGCCAGCAAGGCTGGCTGGGGAATCCTGGGAGTTGAAGTCCACTCATCTTAAAGGGGCCAAGGTTGAGAAATGCTGTTCTTTTGCTCACAACTGAACTTTGGAAAGCTGGTTGGACCAGTAGAACTAGCTTCCGAGTTAGCGTGGGTGTGCACAAGCGTGCGCTCTTGTGCCAAACAATGTCCGTTCTGCCCCTCCTCCCATTCCTGCTCCACCTCCAGACCAGCTGTAAAGATCCAGTCTGGAAATCTTGCCCCAATTCTCCTCTGCCATCTGCATGGTGGGACCTACCTTGCAGGATCGGCAGAAAGATTGGAGGGAGCGAAAGAAAATGTACACATTTCTGAACAGTGACCTGCATTTGCGTCCTGTAATCTGTTTCCTATATCTGCACTTTATTTCTCTGATAACATCAATCTGTGCTTGTTGGTAAATTCAGGCAGGGTTTTAGCAATTCCCCCATTAGCCCCGGTAAATATAGATGGATTTTACTTTCCCCAGTAAAGTTATATTTTCCTCAAATTCCACCTTTACTTGTCTGTATTAAGATTAGTCGGTGGCTTCACTGGTAACAAGCAATAATGTGGCTTAGTTTTGGCTCAGTGGAGGGCTTCAGCCAAGCCAACTGTGGCTTGTTAAGCAAACCACGATTTGCAAAAGTAGGGTGTAACTAACTGGTGGACAAAACAGTTGTGGTTTTTAAAGAAAAATAGCATAAAGTGTGGTCGGAGCTAGGAGATGGCTAGGAGAGGGGAGGAGGATTAAATTCATAACGGGAGCCATTCCAGATGAACCATCTTTAGTTTTAATTCAGTTTCAGTGTAAGGGAAATGAGATCAGATTTTGCCATGTTCGTAATCCCCCCCAGCTCTCTCTCGGCTGGGAAAAAAATGGATTTCTGGTGGAGAAAGACCTGTAAACTCGCTCATTCATTTAACATGAAAGGGGTGTTTTTTAATCACCGTCAAAAGGACTGGTTTTGCCTAGTCCTCCCCCTCACATTATGAAAAAGGAAAAAAAATCTGGAGGATTGCTCTCCAGGAAGTGAAAATACCTTAAGCGGGCCAGGTTTGTGAACTGAGTTTTCTTAGCATCCACCATCCACCAGAAGCTTTGCCGGCTTCAGTTCACCCAATATTCTCAGAGGCTTTGTGGAAATCGAGCCAGCGACATACCCATTGGATAAATAAAGAAAATAATGGTTTCTCAAGGTTGTTTAGCATCGAATCCTAGAACGGAAGGGCCAATCCCATCCTATGCCCAGGGCAGGAATTCAGATTAAAACAGAGAGTGCTTGTAAACCCTAGTTCGCGAGGACCCGACTAATCGTGGTTATTGAGTAAGGCACGGTTGCATCTCTTTTCCCTTCCCAAGCTCTTCTGAACCAACATGTCCCAGCGGCATTCAACCGGCTCTCTGGGAGATAAAGCTCTCCTTCTGGACCATCGGCCCATCAGCAACAACGGCGTGTCTCCACATGAGAAATGCACCTCCACCCCCTCGCTGGAGAGCGCCGGCCTTCAGGCCGAAGGCTCCACATCGTTCTCCAAGCCGCGGCGGATCGTCCTGAGCACCGAAAGCCCCGCCGCCCTCAAAGTGGGCACCCACCAGCTCATTCCCAGAAGCTTAGCCGAGGATCCCAAGGCCAAAGTTCCCATCCGCCATCAGAGCTTCTCCGACGTGGGGACAGGGAGCCGAGAGGTGGTCCATTGCGACCCCAAGCGTTTGTCGGCTCCCAGCATTTCCCTGGACGAACTGGAGGACGAGCTGGACATGGGCGAGGGGACGCTGAAACGCAACTTGCGCAACATGTCATACCGGGCGGCGATGAAGGGCGTGAGGAACGGTGGGGAACCAGAGCTCCCCAAGAGTACTGGGGGGCTCAAGCCAGTGTTGGAAGAAGCCAAACCCCCCCATAGCCGGAGCCCTGGGAGGAGCAAGGTAGGTTAAAACACCCCCAGTTTGCTTGTACATCTGCATGGGTTCCCCTCTAAATTACACCTCAAAGTAATTCTTGAAGGCATCTCTCCATACTTCACACTCAACAGGTTTGCTCTTGGCTTAGTGCAACGTGCACATCCAGACGCTGCCTGAGCGGCCCAACTCCCCCATGGTTAAAACCGACAGAGGAACACATGGACAGAGGCCCTGCCTGGCAATGTTTTAACCATGGTTTATTAAATAAGCTTTGCACACCCAACACGAAACCACAGTTGGGTGCCAATGCAAAGATTGGACACCACGCTTAGCCGAAGCCACCACATTTTATGGTGTCTGACCTGAACTGTTTCAACAGTTTAAGTTTCAACAATTTAACATTAAGCCGTAAAGGCCCTGGATAGCTTTGTCAAATTCTTAAATTCTGGCTTATGCATCTCGATCAACAAACCGTGGTGTGGTCCACCACATGAATCTTGCATTTTTGAGTCTTTGTTCAGCTTATGGCAAGCTTCCAGCTTCACGCTAGATGTTTTTTTCCCCCACGGGCAAACCCCTAAAAGACCTAGCAGCTAGCTTTCATTACCCTGTTGGCTGATATATAACCCGGGCAAGTCAAAGGTTGGAGAGTGTTGGAAACCAGGTTAACTCCTTCACGCCAACAGTCCCATTCCTGTCATGAGATTTGGCCTGGCTTCCGGGAGTCTTCCAGACTTCGCTTCCAAACTGTGATGGGTGATGGCGATAATGATATTTTTATCTTGCGTTTTTTGGATGCTAAGAAGTTCTTAGGAGGTTTAAAGTTCTTTGAACAGGGAATAGAAGAGGGCAAAAAAGGATATTTTGGTAGAAGTTGGACATACTGAATGAGACCAAGAAACTGGTGCTGGCGAATGGAAATTGTTTACAGGCTGAATGGCAAGAAGACAGTTCTTGCTCATGGATGGTGGCTTCGAATCCATTTGTCTCCTGGTCACTTCATAGATTCATCCGTGTCGTTTTCTTGGAAGCATCGCAGAAGAAGTTTCCCATTGCCCGCTCTTCTTTCTGCTTCCCAGGCGTTTGGATTTCCTTGTGGTCTCCTATCCAAATGCTAACCCAATCGGCCTGCTTAAATTTTTGCATGCTATGGCCACTAAGCTTAGTTTAACTCCCCAGAAAATGGGGAGCAGCTAAGGAGGGCTCAGGGCTGTATAAAGTAAGTTGGCCAGGTTCTGGTCAATCCTGATGGGCAGCAAAATCTTTTGCAGTCTGTTCAGCTGTCGGGAATTGAATCCGGGGCTTCCTAGACTGCAAAGGGGCCACGGATCGGTTGAATGCTGCACTTGGTTGCACTCAACATCTGTGTGTGGATTTCCAAGGACATTTGGGGTGGAAATTTGCTTTCATGCCTCCACAAATCCAGCTTGCATCTGCTGCGCCATTTGGGGCATGTTGGACTCCCCAAATTCCCCAAAACATCATTAAAATCTGAATGCCCGGTTGAAGAATCAAATTGAAAGCTAGCAAAGAGCAGCCGGCGCCCTGCTTTCGTAATTCCTTTTATTTTTTAAAAAAATATGTGAAATCAAGCCACGTGGCTCCTTAAACACTGGTCACACCTGGCTTAAACAGGGCTTATTGACAGAGATGACCTTCCATTTTAACCCCGAGAGGAATCGGGCCAAGCGATGGGCTCAGAGTTGTTGTTGCTGCAAAAACCAGTTGCAAAACTTTTGGGCATGGGAGGCTGTGATTGGAGGTGCGTGCTGGGTCGGGATACGGAAGTGGGAAGGCAGATTTGTCCTTCCTGTGTGATGCAACGGTGGTTTTGCATCACAAATGCTCCACTTGACGACATGGAGAGGAGAAATTAGATATTTTCTGAGCTGCCCATCCGGGACAGACATTTAACCACTAGGCCACGCTGCCTTTCCCTTTCAGTATTGACCTGGGTTAATCAAGTGGTGTCTGAATTGACTTCCTTGCCATGCTTTTAACCCATCTTGCTTCTCCAGACCTTTCTCACCGGGCTTTCCATAAAGCTACAAAGGATGGCTGGAACCATAAAGTAGGGAGGGGCCTCCGAGGTCATCTAGTCCAACCCCCGGCTCTGCTAAAGCGCCTTGCACAGTTGACCCTCCAGCTTTGGAGGGGCTGCTTCCTTGGAGCAGTTTGGGGGTTTCTTTTTCAATGGCCTCGCTGAACGATGCGGCGACGGGGTGGGTGAATTCAGCCTCGCGGGAAAGCGAAGCGCACTGACGGGAGGCTCTCTTGTTCCCGACAGCGGACATTGGGGCGCAAGCGCCTGCAGCATCATGGCGGCTCTTTCAAAGATGGTGAGTCTCGTATGTTCGCCCGCCCTTGATCTGTACTGTTCCTTTCTTCAAACGTTTAAAATCAATTTTATTCAGAAGCAGTGAGCAAAAGGGGCTGTTGATGGAGGGGAAAGGAGACGTTTCGTGCATGATTGGTCTCCTTGGTTGGTTGAGAACTTGGTGCAGTTTACCCCCAAAGTGGCCAATCCGTTGCACCAAACGCTGGCCAGTCCTGTCGCTAGGCCCTGTAGCTGGAGTCTGCGCTGTTTGACAAAACAGGGCAAAAAGTTATCACTTTCGCTGAGGAAATTGTTCCCCTCCAGGTTGTGTTACAGGTAGTCCTCACTTAACGACCATAATTGGGACCAGAATTTCCGCTGCTAAGTGATGCAGTCATAAAGTTCAATGTCACATGACTGCCCCGCTTAGCAACAGCAGTTCCAGCAATCCACAGTCGCCATTGTTAAGCGAGGACTGTGTGGGTCGTTAAGAGATCGTCACGTGATCACGATCTCATGTGATCACGACTTCTGGCTTCCCCATTGACTTTGCTTGTGGGAAGCTGGCAGGGAATTTTGTGATCACATGACCGTGGGACACTGCGATAGTCGGAAGTGCGGGCCAGTTGCTGAGCACCCGGATCGCAATCATGTGACTGCAATGGCTGGAACTTCGAGGACCGGCCGTAAGTACCACTCCTTCAGCGCCGTCGTAAGTTCAAACAGTCGCTGAATGAGTGGTCATTAACCGAGGACTACCTGTAAGTTAGAAGTGGGCAGATCATCTACAGCTGGCCTTGAGAAAGCGTGCCGCCTTCACCACACGCAGCCAAATATCTGTTGCAGATGTGTTGCAAATGCCTTTGGAGCCCATAAAACGCTACTTGGAAGATCATTATAGTTGTTAAAACTATTCCCCCAGACCCAGAGGGGTCTTTCCCTTGCAATAGGCTTTTCACCCCATTTCAGGGGAATTCTTCAGAGTTCTGCGCTCAAGTATTTAGTCTTTCTGCAAACTCTGTATCTCCCTGGGCTTCTGTGGGTGGTGCCGTTTTGGCTGCCGAAGGATCTGCGCTCAGAGGTTGAGTCTGCTAATAGGCTAGCCCCAGATTTTGCCATTGGCTTGCGGTTGGTGGTTGTGACTGGGAGGCTGTTACACCAGAGTAGTTCGGAGTGACTCCCCATTCGGGCGTCTCGGCTTTCCTTCTCCAGACCCCCGCTTGTATCAGGAGATCCGAGAGAAAGGCCTCAACTCCATCAATCACGAGTCGGATGATGACCTTCTCGAAGCGGACGTCATTCCCGAGGAGCACCCGTCCACCAACACGGTCATCATGGTGAAAAGCTACCGCCCTGCTCAAGCCACCTGGAGCCAACAGCCTGAGGTAGGGAAAAGAGATCGCCTATTGGTGAGGAGAAGAAATGGGAAGGCGAGCCGTTTTTTCCGTTCTTCCTTACTCCATCGAGGTGCGAAAGCTGCGTAGCCTGGCCTCCAGAAGGAGATAGGAGAAGTGAAATGATTCCTCAGCCCCGGAGCATCAAAGTGTGAGAACAAGACTCAGACCTGGCCTACCTTGCAGGGCTGACTCTGGGGAGGTAGCTGGACGCCAGCAGCGTTGGTAGCGCTGGCTGAGGTTTTTGAAAATCACTCTTCAGTAGCATCTAGGGGACCATCAGTCCTTTTGATTTAATCCAACTCCTGTGCTCAGAGACAGAAAGCTGGACCAAATGCATCTTAAACCCCTCTTTCAATTGTTGCCTTTTGATTGGCTGCAAAAGAAATTGAATTTTGATTTTTAGAGCAGAAGAGGATTTCAGAGAAATTGTCACAGGATGGGAGTGCAGCATTCTTGGCTTGTTCGATGCTCAGGGAAGCATCGGGTCCTTTTCTGTAATTCTCTTTTCAGCCTCCCTGACTTCCTTCCCTCCCATTCATCCCCAAGAGAAATTCTCTTATGGGACCTTTTCAGATGAGGAGGGGAGGGCAGCCAGGGAAGCAGAGAATGGAACAGAGAAACATAACCATCCTTTTTCCAGCTATCTGCTTCCCACCCATCCATTCAATTTCAAGAGAGTTTCTTCCACGGGACTTCTCAGATTAGAAGGAAGGGCAGCCAGGGAGGCTGGTGAGAGACGGGAAGACGTGGGACAGAAACACACAATGATCCTCCTTTCTCGATCTATCTCCAGCCTCCCCGGCTTCTCTCACTTCTCTTCACCCCAAGGGAAATTTTCCTATGGGATTTTTCAGCCCAGAAGGGAAGGGCAGCCAGGGAAGCTGGTGAGAGATGGGAAGACGTGGGACAGAAACACACAATGATCCTCCTTTCTCGATCTATCTCCAGCCTCCCCGGCTTCTCTCACTTCTCTTCACCCCAAGGGAAATTTTCCTATGGGACTTTTCAGACCAGAAGGGAAGGGCAGCCAGGGAAGCTGGTGAGAGATGGGAAGACGTGGGACAGAAACACACAATGATCCTCCTTTCTCGATCTATCTCCAGCCTCCCCGGCTTCTCTCACTTCTCTTCACCCCAAGGGAAATTTTCCTATGGGACTTTTCAGACCAGAAGGGAAGGGCAGCCAGGGAGGCTGGAGAGGGATGGGAAGATGTAGAGAAGAAACCCACATCACTTCTCCCTCCTGCCTCTATACAATAAACTGGGAAAACATATTAAACTTAATAAATGCTGACATCCTTGGAGAACAAGCTATAAAAACAAAGCAGAGAAAGATTATTCCCTCCCCGCCGCCCCCCAATAAGTGCCACCAAGGTCAGAAACAGAATGGAGACAGCGTAGGTCTCTGTTCGGTGAGTCAATATTGACTCAACCGGCTTCTGCCCGGCCAGAAGTCTTTCTTTGGAAACAGGAAAGGTGCAAAGTGCACCTGGGCGGTGAAATGCAGAGGAACCGCCCCCCCACCTGCTTTCTCTTAAGCGACTTGCTCGCCCTTTCAAAGAAGGAAAAGAAAATCTGAAGATTTCCTTGTGGAATGACAAAGAGAATTCACCCGTTGGCTGACTGCCTTAATCAGGAAATGCGACTGTTGAGTTCTGCGTGAGGGTTGTGGTGAGATAACCGAAGCTTGGAAACTCCCGGATGTGGGGCTGTGTAATTAAATGCACACGCGTGCACCCACACACGTACATTATGATCTCTGATTTAGACAGAGGTAATACAGCAGTGGGGCTCCTGAGAGGCTGGTCCCTGTTTAATAGTTTGTCATTCCACCTGTACAGTTTCCCATGTAAAAAAAATCCCCTTTGTTTCTTTTTGTAAAAAACAAGAAATCAAAACGTTCCCCCCCCCCCCCCGCCCAAAATGGAATAAAAGGATATTAGTTTCAGTTCACTTAAAATAATTTGCTTCGCAGGAAAATCAGAACATAGGAAATAAATGGATTTGGGGTCTGACCCAACAAGGCTCACGTTGATTGTGTTCCCACAATCCCCTAAAGTTGGTTCAACTGGAGTTGGATTATTTGGGGTTCAGCAGGTGTCTTTACATGCATGAATCTGGCCCTCTGGATCAGCTACAATATGATTGATCTTTTGAACGTGTTGTATGTGAGGGTAGTGGTTGGCTATTACTAACCTGGGTTAGCATGAAACCCATGTCCATTCCAACCACTTTGGAGATGTAGTCCAAGCCATCTGGAGGGTTCAGGATAGTTACTGAAGTTTATGGACCAGTGATAGAACTTGCCCCCTGCAAAGGTGTGGACTTCACCTTTCCAGATGTGAAGTCTGTGTCTGCAAAACCTCAGAGTTGAAATGTGCACATCTGGAAGGTACACAGATTGAGGAAAGCAGAGCAGTTGAAGGAAGGCCTCTGGAAGTTCTTCTAGAAGTTCTCAAAGGCTTCTTGGTGGGTCCTGATGGGCACAAGATGCTGGACTGTGCTTCCACAAGCAAGAATGGTCCTTCTTGGACAAAGCCCATCTCCCCACCACTGTGTACTACTTCAGTGGTCTTTTTCAACAATCCCACAAACAAGGAATTCTGATATCCGGAGAACGTGAGTCCCTTGAATTTGTCTCCTACAGGTCCTGGAAACTGGCATCTTAGAGTGGATATCACCAGAAGAACGTAAGAGGCAAGAGGTGAGCGAAGACATGGGGTGGAGCATCCTCATCCTTGGGACACAGGAATGTCTTCTTGCGAGATTGAAGCATCTCCTCTGTGTCCTTCATTCTCTCCAACCCAACTCAGTGTTCAGAAGAAGTGATGGAAGAGGGTCTGGCATTCTCTTGGTCAGCAGGAGAACCCCCCAAGATCAGGGCCAGATTTGGAGGTGGGAGAGAAACCAGCCAAAGAAAGATGGGGTTTGAAAGGGGGGTGGATTCAACTGGGGGCTGTGGAGGGAAAAATCCAGAAGCATCACCCCACATCTCCATTCTCAACCCCACTTGGGACCACATGACTCACCCCACTCCACGCGGCGCACACGGAGACACAACGCATTGCTTCATTACACCCCAGGAAATCCAGAAACTCTACCCCACCAGCTTGCCTAACCTGGTTTCTTATCTGCTGCCTGTAACTCTGTTTTTGGAGAAGATCCAATGGAAGGCAACTCAGTTTCCTCCGGCCACCCTCTCTTTGCTGCATAAAATGGGAGGCAACCCAATGCTTTTTAGCCCATGCAACTTCCAGAAGTGCAGCCTTCAACTCCCAGCCTTCCCCAGCCAGCCTAGCCGTTGCTAAGAATTCTGGGAGTCAAAGGCCACTCGTTGGGGAGTTCCCCAGTTGGAAAAAACTGCCTGGCATCCTTGCGAGGTGGACCTTGAGCCTTCATTTTCAAAAACACCTTCCAGAGGGGGGCACGCAGGGACGATGCCCCTAAACCCCATTCTCGGTGGGTCGGCCCTGTGTACCCCCCTCCGGAAGGTGTTTTTTCAACTTTGAAGAGCGATAAGCCATGATGGATGGTTGATAGAACTGGGAAAGGCCTGCGAGGAGGCGTGAGGAGAGTTTGGGGGGCAGCTTCTCAAAATGGTGGGCAAGGCTGCTTGCTGGGCATTTCCTGAAGTGGGTGAAGTTATTCCTTCACCTGATATTTTACACCAACGCAGCTTGCTCTTGGCTCCCATTTCATTATTACTATTTCATTCTAAGACTAAAACATTTGCTGGTTCCTCCTTACGCTTTGCCAGTGGAGCAAGCCAGCTTTCTCCTCCATCAGACCGTTGGCGCGTAAAGCAAACAAGCCTGCATTTGCCCCCCTTCAGCTGCCTCTCCTCCTCTGCCATCTCGCGCAGGCCATATTTGAAATTATCACCTCGGAGTATTCCTACATCCATAGCATGGCGGTCCTCGTCGAGCATTTTCTGAAATCGGAGGGGCTGCGCGAGACCATGACGCAGACGGACCACCACCACCTTTTCTCCAACATCGGGGACATCCTGGCTGTCAGCAAGAGGTCAGTTTTGCGCAGGAGGGAGGCGCGAGAACACAGGCAGCGCGGCGTAGCGGTCAACGAACTCGTTGGCTACCCGCGCGTCCAAATTCCCACTAGCGTCTCAGAGGACCTTCGGCGAAGCGTAACGCTTTGCCTTAGCTCCTTTGCAAGGTGGTTGTGAGTTTCTTACGAGGCGGTTTCTGGCGTCTGCCTAGCTTTTTTGAGGACTTGGAGAAGCGGCACCAGGAGCACGTCGTGATCTCGGACATCAGCGACATTGTGGAAGCGCATGCCTCCAGACACTTCAACCCCTACGTCATCTATTGCTCCAACGAGGTCTACCAGCAGAGGACCCTTCAGAAGCTGTTGTAAGTGGCTGCGTGGAGGCCGGGCTGAGAGATCTTGCCCTTCGCTGACGTTTCTGGGATCTGAAAGGATCTGTTGATGACTTTGCCGTACGGGGATCGGGGATCGGATCGCCTTCCCTTTCAACTGAAGGCACCAACGGATCTCGGGTTTCCTGCCCTCCTTGGCAAATTTCATGCAGTCAGTGTCGCATTCTCGCTGCAAGCGATCAGCTCTGCCTGCCCTGAAGCCCATTCATTCAGCTCCCAGAATGCCCACGCAGCACAGTCCTGTCTGGGGGATTCTGGGAATCGAAGTCCAGGAGAGAGGCACTCGTTTGCTCTCCAGCAAACCTGTTGGCCCTTCTTTGCAGCACCTTCTGAACAGGCTGGGTCTTTTGAATGAGCATCTGCCACTTTATCCGGAGGGCTTGAGCAAATCTCTAAGCCTCGGGGCCACCGCCAAAAAGGCCCTGTGTCATAAAAATCACCCCCTGAGGGTCTGGAGGTGCAGGGGAATATTGGAAGGTGATGGAAAGAAGGGTTCAAGGTGGGCCCCAGCCCCATAGGGCCCTCGCAGCCCTGTGTACATCCCCTTTCCCAGAGAATTCGGATTCCCAATGGGGCTGAAAAGTTATAAAACCTAGGCCGGGTTTAAAGTCCCGTTTGCTGTGTTTAATACTCAGTCGCACTGCAAAATGAAGTAGGGTCCTTGGGGAAGAGTGTCTCTCCAGAGGGGATCCTGTGGAGCTTTTTGTTCTGTGGAAAATCAAGCCGCGTTTTCCAATCCTGTTCCCAGAGCTACAAACACCACCTTTAAGGAGACGTTAAAGCACATCGAGCGGAAGCCCGAATGCGGTGGCCTCCCCTTGATTTCATTCCTCATCCTTCCGATGCAGAGAGTGACCCGCCTGCCTCTCCTCATGGACGTGAGTAAAACTGGGGAGCGGGTTGTCCTCCCCCCTCCAAACCTCAGTACGGAGCTATGCTGCTAGTCCTCAGCGAGGAACCGTTCCTGCTTGCGCAGCCGTGACTGGTCCCAAGCTCCTATTTTGCTTGGTTCATCCGTCACATTCGCTCAGCAGAAAACATTAAGATCAGGTTGCTGTCCTAAGTGTGTCATTCCTATGCATTTCATAGAATCATATAGTTGGAAGGGATCTCGGAGGTCATCTAGTCCAACCCCTCCCTGGGGCTGAAACGTAGTTCACAGTTGCAGAGTTTAGAAGAGCAATGCTAAGTGCAGAGTTAACGTATCGTTTAATACATTTGAACAGTATAGTTAATAAATTAGCAAACCAGTCTAATAATTCTTAGATTAATTGGTGCTCTGCAGCTCTTACTTCTCTGACCCCAGTGAGCATCCATCCAGCTGAAATACCTCGGCCAGTACACACAGCTGTTCACCTCCCCAAATAATTTCTTCCTCCCTCAAAGGAGTCATGCAATTAAGAAAGGTCTTTCGTGCCTGGTTGAAAGAGAATCATTTTTATTGCGTTTTATAGTTGATTCAATGGATGATACGAGTCATAACGCAAGTCAGGACAATTAAGAACAACAGAAATAAATTTCATTTAAAGCATTGTTAGGCAAGGGAGGGAGACCTAAAATAAATAGCACAAATGAAAAGGGGAAAAAAGGTGGGAGGGAGGGGAAGAAGGAGACAGACAGTCAGACAGACAGACAGAAGAGGGAGGGAGGGAGGGGGGAGAGAGAGAAAGAGAGAAAAGAAAGAAAAGAAAA